AGCTCGACTAACTTGCTTGCCTAGTCAGGGTAGTCAATGCATTTCCACAAACGAATCCTCATCAGGCCATTCCTTGGGACAAGGTTTATTCAAGAGTTCATGTGAATCCAGTGCAGACTGTCCCACAGTGAACAGCAGAGAAGAAAGATTGAGGGTTTTCATAGCTCCGAGTTTGGAGCAGCAGGACATAATGCATTACAAATCTCAACAACTTGTAATATTGATGGGTATTGTTTTCTGTGTTTTTAAGCTACAGCTGCAATGTTGTGGAGAAATATCTAGATTTCAACAGCCCTCATCCACTTTGTGGCAAACCAGGAAACCAATCTAGCCCAAAAATTTCCCACATCTCAATGTAAAGAACTGGGTTACTGTGGGGCTGCTCCAGAGTCTGCAGAAACCAAAGTCTTTGGAGAAAAGCTTTGAACATGGAGATCAAGGGGGTAAATTGGCTCCAAAACAGTGAATTGGTAAACTGCTAGAAAACATCCCTGCCTCACAAAACACATGTCTTTCCTTGGGTAATGATTCCTTCTCAGAAATCCCTGCAGATAAAGAGTTGGACCCTTTCCTTTATTTTTCTTTCCCTTCAACTTAAAAACATTGCCTTATTTTCCAAATGTAGTCATTTGGCAATGTTCATTTAGTAGTAAATAAACAAATAATTGGCCGTGCTTTATTTTAAACAGCATTTCAGTTCTGATACCACGTGTGATATTCAAATGTAATTACAAGACTGAGATACCGGATAGGAAAAGGGTGAAAACAAAGGATGATTCAACCTAAATCAGCTAATTTTGTCTTAATCAGTGTTTAGATTGTTCTGATGAATTTGATATCAATTCTACAGAAAAGGAGAAGGCGGTGTTGGTGATCAGTTCATTTCCTAAATTCACTGAATTTGTAAAGAGGATGCTGTTGTTTGTCTGTAATCACCTGTAAGCACATAGACTAGGAAGACGTGTGAGTTTTGAGGAAGCTAACTGTGACTAAAAGCAGAGATGGGAATACCAGGTATGCAAGTCTTATGTTATTTACTGGCCACCAGCTCCCAACTTCTGTGCCATTTTTGGAACCCCTTCCAAACTAGATTTATAATAACTTTCAGAGACAGTGAATCAACAGAGAAGTCAAAAGAAAGAGGGCTCTGGGGAGAACTAGGACTAATCTAAGACTACATACATAAATTAATCAACGGCAGCCTGTTTTTGAGCACTAAAATGTGCATCAAAATTAACTTTCAGATGAGCAAATCACCACAGGTGTGCTCCCAAACATTAATGCACTATTCACACAAGTTGGAAAAGATGTGCCACACTGGAAAGAGAAAGAAAATGAAGCCTAAAACCACAGATCATATTAAGAAGATATCTTTCTTCTCCAACTCCCATACTGAAAAATCACAACTTCAAAAGACTCGTCATATATCACCATTTTTGTTGCTTATAATCAGTAGATCAGTCAGACCAACCGAACTGCTCTGTTGTAAAAGTTAAACAAATTACCACAGATTGACTGCAAGGCATATACATACATAATCTCTTTTTGAAATAGGGAAAAAAAAAACAAACAACCTTGCTCTAGAACATCTACTGCCACACTGCCTCAGAGCTGCTACAGTGAGAAGCTGTTTGGGACTGCAAGTGTGTTTTATTACGGGCAAAGATATCAGCTGATAACTGCATCTAATGCAACAATGATGTGAGCATCTCAAAAAAACTGAAGGATTTCTGAAGGAACAATGTCAGTGGGTAATGGTCTCAAGCAGTTACAAGGACTTATTTAGGCACAGACTGCTACTCAGCAAATGACCAAGTGGGATTTAAATTTGATAGACAATGGAAAAATGAGTCAGCCAGGAAGAGCAAGACAAAGAATGAAATTAAACATTCTCTGGATGAAAATATGTAAAATTTCTATCCTAAAACGTACGATAGGTCACTTGTTCTGGATCGTGTTCCCATGCCACTAACAGAGCTGGATGAAAGCAAGGTCCAGGCACACAGCTCAGCAGTTTACCTGTTTGCTAGTCACACTGATTTGATTTTTAGTTTGGTGGAACTAAGGCTCCCACTAACATACAATGCTGCAGATGTAAAATAAAAATTTTTGAAGGGTTTTAGTGACTTAAGAATTTAAGTTCCATTTGCAAGTGTCTGACAGGCGCTTTTGAAAACTGGATTCTTAATTAGTAAACCAGACAACCGGACTCTTAAGATCATTAAAACGATATTAGGTAAAAACTTCAAAGTCAATGGGATTTATACACCTTAGGCACATAAGCTCCTCTGAAATTTTTCCTTCATGTCAATCTGCATTCAAATAATTCTTCTTGTACTTGGCTGCAGTGTGTTTGTCATGACCACCAAGCATGATAAATCACATCTCAAAAATCCAGTAGTAATAGGAATTAAATGAATGTCTCCTTAAAACATTATATTTCCTAAAAGATAAAAGAAATTCTGCCTAAATTTTTTTTTGGGGGGAGGGTGGAAATAGCTTGCTAAAAAAAAAAAAATTAAAAATTAAAAAAAGATAATCAGAATGAAGCCGTTCCAGCTCATTTGAAGCATGCTCCCAAACGAGAGCTAGAAGACCAGAAAGCTGTGACTAGTAGAGAATAGGCAAAAGCAGATGTTGTGTCCAGAATCCTCATTGTGAAATTCAATAGCTGGTTTGGTTAGTCCTTTGAACTGGTCACTCGGGAAGGCAGTGCCAGCTTCTTTCATGGCAAGTTTGAGCAGTCCAATGTTTGAGTGTAGTATTCACCTCTTACTGGAATAAAGAGACTGTGTTTGTAAATAAGATGTCAAGTTGTGTTGTATTAGGGCCTTTTGCAACTGACAAAGATTCTCATTTTCCATAGAATAGAACCATTTGACTAAGAATAAATACTATCTGGCAGTATTTCTAGAGTCATGCTTCAAAGAGAAATTTGAAGCTGCTCTTGTATAACGTGCTGACATTAATCACCAAAAGCGAGATTCTCATAAACAAAATAATCCAAACCAGTAACATAAGCCCAGTTCTGGCTGAGCACTGATCAGAGCCAAACACACAAAACACTGGGTTACAGCAAGCAGAAAGCAGCCTGGTTCCATTGCCCAAAGAATCGTCCATGCCTTTGCATCTCAGAACAAGAACTCAGTGCTGCTAAAACCTCCCGACAGTGCAATCCATGAGCAAGAGCAAGTAGATACAAACTGCAAAAATAGCATCAAGGAAGCAGAGAAAGGTTTTAGTGCTTTAGTGCTGGAGCAGCAGAACAAATGGCTGAACAAATCCTGAGCAAGCTGATCAGTGTTATCACAGAATCATTAAGGTTGGAAAAGACCTCTGAGATCATGAAATCCAATCCCAACCCATCCCCACCACGACCACTGACCATGGTGTTCAGTGCCACATCTCCACAGTTCTTGAACACCTCCAGGGATGGTGACTCCCCCACCTGCCTGGGCAGCTGTGCCACTGCATCACCACTCCTTCTGAGAATAATTGTCTCTTAATATCCAACCTGAACCTCTCCAGCACAACTTAAAGCCATTGCCTCTCATTCTATTGCTGTTACCCAGGAAGAGAGGTCAAACTACACCTTGCTACAACCTCCTTTCAAGGACCAAGTCAATCTTTGTCTCCGTTGAATGATGACAAGTCTCTGGGTCCTAAGGGAGACATCTTTCACCTTGCTGGAAAGTAAGGAAGCTGCTGCTGGGATCAGCTTTGGTACTTCTGATCCCAACCACAGTGGCACAATTGCCACGCTGATAGTCCCAAATGCAGTGAATAGACAGTGCTTCCTCCTATCCCTTCAATAAAGTGAATATTTACATCTCTCCCACCCCAGCTGATTGCTTGAAAGATGAGAGAGGGAGAGAGACATTGCCAACAAGAGTACATTTAATGCAGCTATTTTTGCCTATGAGGAAAGCTGGACTAGAGCAATGCAGGGTGGATTCCAGTCCTTGTACCAGCACATGGTGCCTGTGATACTTTAGCAGTGTCTGACCTGCTGGGACCCTGCAGCAGATGGAAGAACAAGGGGGACTATTTTGAAGCCCATTTAATAGCCCAGTCTGCAAACAATCTTCTCCTCTCTTGCTGCTGTTCTACCCTTGTCTTTCCTACTTGGCATGGTGCCTTTTCCCCCCCAAGCAGCAGCTGTGCACACTTGAATAGTAAATCAAACACCCTAAAAACTGTTGTTCCAAAATCTCTTCAGATCTTTCTCTCCTCTATTTCTGTTCTCATTTTCTTGCTAATGATTAAAGCAGTTGGCTTTTCCTTTTTTTTTTTTTTCCCCCCCCTCAAATCTGGTATGAAGTAATTTTGTGTTGCAAACAACTTGACGTATCACAATGTCTACAAGGAAAGGACTTGGGAGGTTCATCAAATTCTCTGATGACGCTAAAATGCTTTAGTTGTGTGTGGGGGGGAGAACACTGTAGGAAATACACAGTGGGGGGCTTCATAGTGCCTTTGGGAGCTGGAGGACCCAGATCATTCAATGAAAGGATGAGGAAGATGTTAACAGCCTGGATTCCCAGGTGATAAGCATCTATAAAAACACGCTTCAGTCAGTGCTGATTTGCACTAACCAGGAATCTAAGCCTGTGTCCTAAACAGCATTTCTTTTTACAGTTTCAAGACTATTTCCAAAACAAAAATGCCTAGAGGATTAATATTAAAGAGAGGGCGATGAAGAAAGGACAATAAAATACCAGACAATTAGCACTATGCAATACATCATATGTTTTTTGTTGACCTCAATATCCATCATCCTGGGAAAAAAAAAAAAAAGATGCATTTTTTTGTCCAGAAAGTTCAGATTTACAGAAGGTAACTTGCTGCTAGAAATGCCCAACTCCAGACCAAAATACCTGACAGCTTAACTGTTCCTTTGCTTGAAACTACTGCAAGAAACTCATGCTGGACATTTAAAAATATACAATTTGAGGAGAATAAAACAAAACAGAACTATCTATATATCATTTTAGCCCTACCTTTTTTATTTGCATGAGGCACTTAATCTATGGATATCTTCTCCCTGTAGTTCATACGTCTGTGAGAGTGTCGTGATGGGAGAGCTTTGGCTGTGAAAATACAATGAATGCTTTATTACAAAGAAAACCACAGTTTGAAAAGCAGGGAAAACTCTGATTCACCAGCATGACTCACACATGCAATGCAGAGCCTTCGATACCTTCAGCAAAGATGCAAAACCAGCAGCATGTAAGCACTTGCAGAGAGAACAGATTTTCCCTACATGAATGATCTTTTCAAAGGCCTTATCTTAATCTTTCTGAAAATCTCTCACTGGACTTAGGACTAGATTCCTAAAGGCAAGAGGAAAGTCAGTGGTAGACTCCATTTGTTTCTGTGGATATTACCATATCCACCAGACGAAAAAAAAAAAGCGACTCAACACCACTATCACGATAGCTGGAGATGGGAAGTCAGATTTCTGAAAAGGGCCAGGGAAGACCTGTTATGTTGACCAGCATCTGATCACAATCATCAAAGCTGAACTTTTCAGGAAATGAATGCTTGAGGGCCCCCACCTCAGGAGATAATACTGACAAGTTCTCAGTTTGACTTTGTGTTTTTGAAATCATTACAATTTTTTTTGAAGGTTTTCAAATGTCTTAAAAAAGAAAAAGAAAACAACAAGACTGGAAGGTGTAAGCTTGGTTGAAGGTAAAAACTCAGTTGACTGCAGCATAAAGGATTTCAGAGCAATTTCATGCTCGGAGATGAAAGGATTTTGTTCCAGTACTCCAGGTCTCAAGACCAGTGGTCCTGATTATAATAATGAAGTGTAATGCTGGGAGAACGTGACAAAGAGTCAGGCAAACAGCATCACTTTGCAGCCCAGCAACGAGAGGAAAGAAACCAGTTCTGGGTGTAACTTCAATTCATTCTTTCTGCTGGTGCTACAAGAAGCAAAGTGCAAGAATATCCACAGGCCTTAATGGTGAAACATCATCTGCAGGTGAAATTAAACACGTTTCTTCAACCTTCCTGAGTGCCATACCCAGGGCACTCATTTTTCTAGTAAAAATAAAGTTTCTTTTTAATGCAGTTAACATATTCCAATCTTGAAAGAACAAAGCTATTTCCTCAATTGTTTCCAACTTGTTCCTTGTTTCAGGATGAGACAGTTTAACTACAGATTGAAAAGTCTTAGTCTCCTTCACCCCATCTCAGTTTAGCACACAAAGATTCTACATTCACCATTTTCTGTTTCTGTGGCTGGGTTGATGCCACTCTCTTCCCTGAGCCTCTTAGAAGCCATTCCTTCTGTCATATACGTGTGCTGCATGCATTCAGCTCTACTGTTTGGGAGCTGCATCTCTTTATGGGGTCTTTTCTTTACTGGTTTTGGACTAAATTGTGTTTTTACATGCCTCTCATCCACATAAAAGAGTCATGAATTGGCTGAAACCTTGGGTTTATAGCTTATGCCGTGGGAGTATTAGGCCAGGGCTTATGCTACATACAGTAGCTTGATGTTCCTCAGCAGAAGAGGCAGATATAAGATTAAATCAACTCAGATCCTGTACACTCATCTCCCAACCATGCAGTGCTCATATGAAAGGTCGTCTCACCCCCATAAACTCTCATGTTTATGTTCTGAAACTAGCAAACTCTTTGGTTTTCAGTGCTGCCTTTCCTCTCTGGACTTGCTTAACTCTGCAGCCAGCCGTAGTCATTAATGAGAAGTATTCCTTACCACTTCCACACTATCAGCTAACTCGGCTTTGGACTTCAGTATATTACACATCGCTTCTGGGTAAAAGCCAGAAATGGCCCTCTACATTCCATAATATTAGGTTGGATCTACAGAGTTCCAAAAGGCGGACTTGGTACATATTTATCTTGCTTAGAAAGAACAGCAAATAGATTAGTGGCTGTATATGAATGTGTATTAATGTTCATTAGTACTTGAGCAAAAGCCCTACGCCTAGAATTAGTAGGAAACACTGAAAAATTGGTCTTTAGTACTGTCTGCAAAGAGAGATTATTTTCCTCTTCATAACAGATTAAGCATTTGCAGAGTATAGGAGACCACCCCTCAGTCCTTTGATGTCATTACCCTGATCCAGCACCCAAGGCATGCAAAACAGAAGTTTTCCTCCAATAGAAAGATCAGCATTTTTTAGTATTTCCATACAAACGAAACTGCTCCTCTGCCTTTCCCTGGGCTCACATTGCACACCATGACCCAGCTCAGGTACACATGTTTCTGGGTATGGCTTCAGGGGAGTTACGAACATGAGTCTGCACAGAGAGAGGAGAGAATACACAAAGAGAAAGCGCGAAAAGCAACGACAAACCTTTGGAATAAATTGCAAATAGAGGTGTGCAATTTGTGGTTAGAGAGACGGAGTGCTTGTTATTACTCAGTATCACTCATCTCCTTCCTCCAAACGTACATACGAAAGCCAGGAACAAATAATGTTTTTATAAACAGGGAGGAGGTTTTATTTTCTAAATTGGGTTATGTTAAAAAATAATCTAGGATGACTGAGTGAGATTGTACCTATGCAGAGAAATTACTATACAGCCAAGTGAATCATTAATCCAAATATAATGTATAACTTTACGGCAAACAAAAGCCAGACGTATTGAGAGTGAATTGTTTACATATTAAAATATACGTATAATTGTAACCTTCTGTTAACACATTCTTGAAGAAAAGAAACACTAGTTCTAGGTTTTAAAATGCCATCTTAACTATGCTCAGTGAAGATCTCTGTATGTAATAAGAGCAGTATATACAGGAGGGATTCTTGAAGGGGGAAAAAACCCAAAAACTAGATCCTATGAAAGTGTTTAGCAAGAGTGGCTCCATCTTCATTTGTCTGTATTAAAAGAATTCATTGTCATCTCTAAAGACAAACTTCGGGGGCGGGAGGGGGGCTAGAAAACGTGCTTTATTGAAAGCAAGACATGATTTAATCTGATCTCACCAGAATTTCATTCTAGCTCTAGGAAGGTTGCCCTGGTGACATCACGCTTTGCATCATGTCCTCAGCCCACAGGCATCTATTGTGAGCTCTAGAAGAGACTTGGCATTAACTAGAAATGGAGGAATGCACACATTCTGAAGTACCGGTCAGGGAGAGCAAAGGCATCTTCCATTCCTGCTACTAAGAGAAGTCTAGTGTCTTGGCTGGGATTTACACCGGTTGTTTCCATCACCACAGAAAGAAACAGCCCGGCATTTGCACCAAGTTCTTTTCCAAGTTCTAGGGATAGTACTTGACAGAGCAGAGTCACTGTTGGGTCTTCCACCAGTTAACCAATTCAACCACCAGAAAGAAACCACCACGAGTTAATATAGGAAGCAAACAAAGCAAGTTTCTAGCTCCCTTTCCATTAAGAAATGGATTAGAAAAGCATTTTCATCACCCATTCAGCCAGAGGGAAATAAGAACGGAGAAAGAAATCCTTGAATTATATATGCTGATTTATCTAGTAGGCTGGTTTTCCCCCCTACAAGCCCATGGTAATAAACACCATGGCTCTGTTCCACCACAAATCCCCTAAATAGACTTTTATGAATATTTTTGTTCTCTGTATGATCACATAAGTTTGGCAATACAGCCAAAACACAACTGCTTTCCCTGTCCCATAAAGATTCCCTATTTCCCTCAAAGTAAAACCACTTCTCCTGAAAAACAGCCTCCCCATATGCAATCTCCTTTGCTCCTCCTGAGCTGGAGCCCTGTTGAAGCCTGTTGGGTGGCAGCTGGGCTCTTGCCCTGATCCCCAGCTTTCCACATTGTTCTTCTAAAACCAGGAGCCCACTTACAGGTGTAGGAGAAGATACAAGGATGCATCCAGATAGATCAAGTTGGCTTCACACACTCATGCCCGGTGCAGTGCATGCAGTACATGTTTGTTATCTAAGCTCTGTGAGCTTTGGAATGTCTCCTATGACATCTTTGGGGATATGAGAGATCTGGAAGCCAGGGAATACAGTAGTCCAGAAGAGAAGGAGACAAGGAGATGCTGCTCAGAAATAAAACTCTAGCACAAACCCCAGTGAATCTGCAAGATCTGCCAGGCAAATGACAGAAGCCACTGTCAACACAATAATTGTGTACATCACACGTATTCACATTTCATTGCAATTTCCATGTAATCATATTTCATATTTTCCATCCCACTGAATAAATAGGTTGGAATGAAGATCCCTCAGTCTATGTTTCCCAAGACAGGAGAACCATTTCTAACTCCCCCTTTCCTACAGCCAAATGCAGGAAAGCTCCTCTGCCAAATACTCAGGGCAAGGGAGAGACCCACCCGTCATCTCAACGAAGACAATGAGAAAGTGAAGATTGACTTGCTTGTTATCAGAAGGTTGCCAGCTGCTGCGTGCACACACTGGGAGGATAATTTCAGAGGAGCTTTGTTGCAAGTGCCCTTCTTTTCCAATCAGTAGGCATCATCTCCGCCGAATAAGAAGCTAACACAAACACTAGTATTCGAGTCATTATAGTGACATGTAATACTACAATTTTCTGGGCTATTGATTAGTGCTATTCTGGCATTGTAACCCAAAACACTGGAGGAAGTCAAGTGAAGAATGAGACGAGGAGGACTTAGCATGCTGGTGAGCTGGTTAAAATACCTTTGCTGAAAAACTGGCTTCGTCAAAATCACAACTTCCGGCCAAAAGGTACAAATTTTGAGACAAAGGTTTTGCAGGCAGTTTGGGGATTTTTGTCTGGGTCTCCAACCTGTCAAATTAGCTCTCTAGTCACCAAGCTATCCATTATGCTCTCCCAGGTTATACTTTATTTTATTTTAGTGCAGTTTCATTCTGAGCTGCATCACAACCAAATTTTTGAAATAGCTAAAAAAATTAGTGCTTCTCTGTCCCTGACCCCTCCTTAGTGTTCAGACAGAGGGAAATAACTCTATCATAAACTCGATGGGGAGCTTATTGATAACATAAAATGGTACACCATGCTTTTCAAGACATTTGTTATTACAGTCAGGAGAGAGGATGTGAGTCAGAAGGTTTTTTCTCAGTTTCATTTGTTTTATTTATTCACTTGTTTTACTGAAACCTAAGTAGCTGTTAGAGGTAGAAGTCCTAAGATGGATGTGTTCTTTGACACACAACTTAATTTCCAAAACAAACAATTTCAACTACTTTTCTGAGTGTCATCCTTCCTGAGAACATCTGATGCATATGCAGAAAACAAAAAGTCAGCTGCAGAAGAGCTCTAGCATTGGACTGCTCTTCAGGGAGGTTCACCTTTTTTACCACCACTTCATTTCCTCCAGCACTCGTCTCTATCTCTGAATTAATTTTACTTCACTCCAAGCGAGCAGATGATGACAAAACAATAGTCTGCCATCATCTATACCAGAACTCTGGAAAAAAAAAAAAAAGTATGCATAGTGAATAGATCTCCATTAACATCAGATGGAGAAGGAACCCTTCAGCAAAACCTTTCACACAAGTGATGACTAGAGGTGATGGACAGTGTGAGCATCTTCCAAGACGGTAGCAATGTTTTAGATAACTCATGATGCTTTCCAGTTTGGGGACTTCTTATCTGCAACACATCATTTCTGGTAGACTAAGAACAAGCTGAGGAAGTGTTCTCCACACCCATTGTGGCACTTGAGATACCTGTGCACCCAATTTATATTCCTCAAAATAGCCAAACCAGTCCATTTGTACACATGGAATGGACATGTGAACATGTAATTTTTCCCTGTGTCTGACAGAGCCTGAGTTAAAAAACAAAAAACCCCACATACTAATGAAAGATTTAAGCCAACTTAACCATGCATACAAGTGTCAATTACCCTCTAATTTCCATAATCTCCTCCTCACAACTCTGCAACCTCCCCCCCAGCACTTCTTCCTTTAAAATGGGAAAGTGAACTTTTTAAAAGAACAGTAGATGAAAATCATTATCGGTAGTGAGCTATGGCATAGAGCTTTGTGCCAACACATGCTGAATAACACTGATTGAAATATATGCTCAAGAAACCAAGCCCTTGTATTTTGAGTCACTTTTCCTTTTGGATTCAAAAATCTTTGCGTAAAATCCCTTACTCGCTCTGTTTCCACACATTTGAGGACTGGGCTTTTGGCTCTGAAGACCCATATCAACCTTCTGATCATTGGCAAGAAAAGAGGCAAGGTTCAGGAATGCCATAGTATCCTTAGTTTCCTTCTCTAAGGGCACTTTGAGAATATAAACGGCCATTCGGCTGTTTGGGAAGAAGAGGCTCAAGTCCCTCTAGAAAAACAAACAAACAAACAGTTGAAGATTTTCTCTTTCTTGTCTTTATTTGGCCATGGTGAAGCAGCCACATCCACACTGTCTACAGGGGAACAGTTCAGCATGAGCCAGCATGGGAAACAAGGGAGAGAGCTAAAGACCTGAACTGGAATTATGGCATAAATATGGACTCATGTGTACATGGGACACACTGCGATCCTTCAGATGTCCCTGCAGACTCACCGTTTCTCTCTGCCAAATCTGAGCCTTTCTTGCATAACATAAAGCTTTCCCAGCAGAGGTGGCCTGGGCAGCATCTTCTTTTTTCATTGCCAACAACTATTTCTGAGAAAGGCCAGAACAGAGCGTGCCAGAGTTTGGAATTAGATACAAATTAATTGCATGTAATTATTCAAAAGCATCAAGTATCTTTTCAGGATTTCATACTTATTGTTATTGTAATTATGTCCAATTTGCAAATACAATCATTGTAAATTACTCTATTGATAACTTGAGCCTTCTCATTGTGTGCTATCACCTCACCAGATTTCTTGTGGTCTCCTGAAATGAGTTCTTTTTAATCATGATGAAGACACAACTAGAGCTGAAAATTGACCGTGCTTCTCACAATGGCTGTCTTCTATTCAGAAGAGGCAAACTCGTAAGTTATTAGCCTATGATTAAATTAGAATGTCACTGCAACATCTAAGAAGTCAAAGTCATAAAAACTTGATTTTTGTCTTTCACTGGAAACTTGCGAAGAAAAAAAACCACTAACAGTCAGTTGCCATTATTCAATGCAAAAATCTTAGCTGTGTTACCTTTTTGATTTGATGACTTTTTTTTTTTTTTTTTTTTTAAATCCATTTAGGTTTCTCTCATCATTTCATGTAAGCCAGGACCATCCAAACTGCAGGGATGTCTTGGGAAGGTTAGTACAACGATGCTTAAAAGCCCTTCAAAAGCCAGTTTTTATGTAAAATGTGTAAGACTGGTTAAACATTTTCCTTCTTAAGCTGCCCACAAGCTATAAGTAAGTATTAATATGCACAAATGGAGACAGATCTGAAGAAAATTATGTTTTCACACACATAAGATTATAAACATAGCTACTGGCATTCAACTGTAGTCAGTGGTGCTCAATGCTGGTATGTTTGGTCTCAGATATTCCCTAGGCATGCTCTTTCTGACAATCTAGTACATTGTTTGGCCAGTAAACCTTACAGAAGAAGAAAAGATATGGCAGCTAGAAGGGGGAATACTGAGCAGCATGGAGTGATGCAAAAGAAATAAGTTATGAAGAGGAGAAACAGGGAAGGGAAAAAATCACTGAAAGGATCTTGCTCTTAGATAAGTGGGTGGGTGAGATAACCCTTCCAGATATTCTCCAGCTTTATGATTCTGTTATTCCTTTCACCAGTCTGAGGTCTGAGCATATTTAAATGGCCCAGGGTATGCTGGTGCTTAATTAAAACTTCAGAGTACCACGCAAGTAAACCTGTAGAGACTTTTCCAGGGTCACTGCACTTACATCCAGAAAGGTGCTGACACAAGCACACATAAACACACATGATGTTGTAAGAGGTGCACTCATCATTTATTTATGAAGTTTATAATCTGACACTTAAAAAAAAAAAAAATAAAAATCCTAACAGGCTCTAGCATTCCACAGTTGTCGAAATGTCACCTCTCAGATACAGATATTGATTTACAGTTTGAGACCAAGCGCATTGTATTCTGTGCTAACAAGCCAGTACAACTCTATTCAACGTTTCTGAGAGAAGGAGAGGACTAAACCATCGATGGTGTCAGAAATCATTGAGTTTTGTGGGTGTATTTTAACAGCAATCTCTGAACTGGGCAGCCTGTAGACATGAGTATGGTCTGCCTGGGCAACTGGACCTAGTGTCATAGTGAGGGTTAATGAGAAGACAGTGTCAAGTTTTCATTTAGAGTTTGTAGGATTGCAGACAGTAATCCTGAAGGAAATAGGGCAGAACCACAAAAAACAAGGGCTAGATGAATCCTGGTCACTTGGTTGCTTCTCTGACATATGAAGAAACAGTTTTAATCTCATTTCTTTTATAGCTTTTATTGAGATTTCCGAGCACTTAATTCAGAAAACGACAGACAGATCCTCCAAGCAAATCTTTTTTGAAAATCACCTGAATGATATAGCTCAGAACCCATATTGTCCAACATAGCAAAATATGTCCTGAGGAACATATCAGCTGACACACAGAACGAAGTCAACACTGGTGGTGGACAACTGTTAGAACAACGTGATAATTAAATAGAGCACAAGGGCCAAATCAACAAACGAAACAACCCAAACAACCAAAACATTAGCATGGATGTAATTTCCACATCAGAAGGCCAACATATCAATTGCAGCCAAGCCAATAGCAGAATTCATGCAGATGCTATGAGGACCAGTGGAAAATTCAAGACTTGAGTGCAAACTTCCAAAACCGGGATCCCATTAAAAGCATTTTATATTTTTTTCCATTACATATTCAGTTATAATTTATTTATACTGCAACAGGTTCCAGACAGGACTACAGTTGCTGCAACACCTTAATCAAATTTGCAATTCTAGAATCTGTCTCTATCACTAATTACTGCATGCAACATACAGAGCACACAACAATTTCACAGTCCTTAATCTCACATCCTTCAGCTACAGTATCAAGTAAGAGACAGACTCCCCTTTCCAAGGGCCCTGGCTATGGTCTGCTACCTGCAGTTATTCTCACTACTGTTTTCCAGGACATTTAGGCCTGGGTAACTGCCTTAGAAGTAGCTGTACACTGAATTATTATTGCCCACAACTTTAGCACCAGGTACTTACTTCTGTGGTGTGTTTGTTGATAGAAGAGCAAAGCACATTATGAAGAACAAGTCGATTCCTCGTAACCAGGATGCATTCAGTAGCTATCTTGAAGTATTCTTCTAGGCCTCTAACTTGGCTGTGTACTTCATTTAAAAACAACAGACTCTTCAGATACCCTAGTCCAAAATTTCTCCTACTCGTTCAAAAAATTACTGCCTGCTATCCAGATGTTGTTTTATCATGAGGTAAGCCAGAAAATCTGCTGGAATCTTCCTATTGCATTTCCAATACAAAGCATTCTAATGATGTTAGCCTTGCAAATAGTGTACTGAAGAACTTCCACTCAGGCTTTATTTTTTCAAAGGAGCTTTTTAACATCTTGTTTTCCCATGCCACCCTTTATTTATTTATTTACTGTGGTGCTTTGTGGGTGGTGGGTGCTCAATTGCACCAGTGGAGAGCTGTGCAATCAAACTTGCAACGAGACAGTAGTCTCTGATTGTCATCAGCTGCAGCTTATTATTCTCTCAAGGATTCCTTGTGCCAATCGATGATAAACAATGCGTAATCACTTGCAATTGATT